ATCACTTTTAATCTTTTACTGATTCATTAATATGAAGTGTGAGGTTTGGACTATTCATGTTTAACTTTTCTTCTTGTCAAGTTTTAAAAAACATTATAAGAGTATTTAAATGTGCCAAATGCTTTCTCTGCATCAATTGAGGGGGGCTGTGTCTTCCTCTTTATTTCTTAATATGATATATCACATTGATTTTTTTAAATGTAGAACCATCCTTGAATTCCAGGAATAACACCCATTAGGTCCTGGTGTATAATCCTGTTAATATGCTGGCAAGTTTAGTTGGCAAGTATTCTGTTAAGAAATACTGAAGGAAGTTTTCTTTTCTTGTAGATTCTTTCTGGATCTGGTGAACAGGTGATACAGAGAGTGAGTTATGAAAGTTTCTTTTATTTTTGGAAGAGTTTGGGAATTATCAATATTAATTAGTCTTTGAGTATTTAATAGAATTTATAACAGATTTTTGGTTTTTCATTGTTGGAAGGTTTTTGATTACTTATTCAATATCCTTATCTATGTTTAGGTCTATTCAGGCTTTCTATTTCTTTATTATTTAGTCTTGATACATTATGTATTTTCTGAAAAATATTGTCCATTTCATCCAGGTTATCCAATTTTAGTTATTGTTCATAGTACTCTTGAAATTTTATTTCTGTAAGATCAGGAACCAGGTCCTTCTTTTGCCTCTGATTTTATTTCCATCTTCTCTCCATTTTTGTGCTCATTATAACGAACCTTGCCAGTTTTGTTGAACTTTTTGAAGATCCAACTCATTTGATTAATTTCTTTAAATTTGTTTTCTATTCTCTAGTGCTGCTCTGATCTTGCATTTTCTTCTTTTCTGGAGTGCATTTCTTTACACTAATGGTCTGTGGGTGAAAATTACTCACAAAATGTAACCTGCTTTGCTCAACTCAAAAGAGTTTGTACCATCTCTGTTCCAGGTCACATCTTGGACACAGTATAGACTTCCAGTTTTATGAAGGCAAAATCATGATCTTTCTGTTAATGGTTTTTATCTCCAGTGCTTAGCAGAGTTTCCATCATATGGTGGGCTTGCTAAATAAGTATTAGTTGAATGAATGGGTGTCTAAATGAGTAATCAGGGTATTGTGAACTTTCCAGGCAATTCTCTAATATTACTAATTCTTTTGTAACTTGCTCATTTTTTAGGAAATTTTTGTAGCAGGAAAAATAAGAAACAGGTATTTAGTAGACTATAATATTAAAATTATTTCCATTAAATGGACTATAGATGATATGAAATTTAAGAAAATACACAGAAAAGGAAACGTGCAAATTATGACTAACTTATACATCCATACCTGGAGTCTGAACAATACACTAGTCCTCTCTGGAAATGCAGCCATCCTTTGTGCATGCCACTGTGTAAATACTGCACTGCTTGGCCACAGACCCCTCTCCCCCATTAAAGTGTGACCAGTTCAGGGAGATCACATGTTGTTGAAGGACTGCTGTGGATGTACTATGCTCCATCTGATTTGTAGTGCACACCACACAGAGATCACTGGAGTACTTGGAACTGAAGTGATTTTCTTTTTGCTTCCCTCGAGAATATCCACACAGTTAATGAACACTAATCAATGGAACAGAAGAGGAAGACTTTGCTGGATATATCATAGCTCTGGGTGCTTGCTTAGTACAGAGAGTTTTCTCTAGTGACTAGAGTCGAGTGTGACTCTACTTTTCACCCTTTCACCACCATGCTAAACTATCCTCTAGTGTTTTAGAACTGTGTTCCACAGACTGGCAGATCTGTAGGGTGCTACACGCATAATGACTGCAACAGTTGAGGCAAAGCAGGAGGGCTGATAAGAGGAGGAAAGCGGCCATTTTCTTTTGCTAGCAAATGTAAAAGGAGCGGGGAATGTGCTTTGGGTGGCAACACTCTTGCAGACTTCAGATTCTGAGAACTTATTTGTAAAACTGAGCAATATAAATAATTAGAAGAAAGAAAAACAAAGCCCATGTTTTTCTACAGAAATTGAATGAATTATCGAAATTTGAGAAGGTGTTAACAGTCCTGAAAATATGAATTCTTTGGGTTTTGCATTTCCACTGTGCATAAGTGGTGTGGGATATTTCAGCCATTCTGTCAAATAATCTATGCATTGGTTGGAGAGAGTGAACAGTACCCCTGAAAGAGTTGCTTTATATTGAAAAAACAGTATCCAGTTTAAAAATAAACTCACTTGCCTTTTACATATTTTTCATATTTCTCTCATCTTAATTAATCCCTTAACTTACTTCCAACCGAATACAGTTGAAACCTACATCTTATTCAAATATATAATGAATTTAGGATAATGTGATCAAATTTATCTTTGAATTTGCAGCCTGAACAAACCATTGAAGTCTGCACATCTTATAACCGCCATAGCACTCCCTTTACCCTTGTTTCATGACACCTACAGTGTTGTCCACTGGGGAACATTTTTGAAAAGTAAAACTTTAGCAACAATCTTTTATGAAGTATATAAGCACATCTTAAATTTTGACTTGAGAACTTGGAACTACACAGCCAACTCTCTTTTTAGTTTTCCTTGCTTAAAGAATTTAAGTGATGCAAACTCCAAAGGTAGTCTTCAAAGACCAAGTGATGTGTGGCAGAAGAACTCAGAGAAAAGCTATCTTTAAGAAAATCACATGGAGCATTGGGCATGAAGTCGGACCATGGGTTATTGATGGGGATGTCCTTCTGTATGTTTCTCTTATTGGTTGAAGAATAAAACACTGATTGCCCAGTAGAGGCAGGAAGATAGACAGGCTAGGAGATGAGGAGAAGGCTGGGGTGGGGAGGAAGGCAGAGAGAGGCCATGAAGAGACACCATGCTGTCGAAGAAGTAACATTCCAGATTACAGATAAACCACAGCCTCATGGCAATACATAGATTAATAGAAATGGGTTAATAATTAAGACAAAGCTATAAGAAGCCCTAGCCATCTGCCAACAATTTATAAATTAAGTCTTTGTATGTTATTTGGGACTAATCAGCTGCAGGGCCGGGTGGGACAGAAACCTCCATCTTCAGGTTATATGATATGAAGAGTGCTGGAAAGGTCCACTCTAAGGCCAGAAAGCATTTTTCACCCATCATTTTAAAATATGATCCAGATAGTTGTTTTTTAAATCATGGTTACTGAAAGCTGTTGAAATACAATTTACCTATTTTTCTCTTATCTTGATCCTATTCAAATGTAATACAAACTACTTTAATTAAATTTCCTTAAGGAAAATCTCTATTGTAAATATGTAATGGATCTTTGGAGCTTAATGCCTTAAAAACGCACATTTCCAGGCTGGAGGGACGCATCAGTGGGTAAACGCATTTGCCATGCAAGCTTAGCAATCGAATTCAATCTTCAGAAAGGTGGAGAGACGCGACTCCAAGAAAAGTTGCCCTCTGACCTCCAAATGTGAGCTGTAGCACATGTGGCCACACATATGATACACACACAATAATAACAATAATTAACTTTTTAAAACTTAACAAGGAAACAGTCTGTATATGTCTAGTACACACCAAAAACCACATTTTCAAGATTGTTTTAGCTAACTCTGTGCTACAATGCTTTTGATCTGTAAGGGAAGATAATAAAAATAAAGAATAAGTATTATTTATTAATCTTTTACCTTAAATTTTATTCAGTTCTCAAGTTAGCTTTCACAAGTTAGTTTTGGCACTTAAAAGTATCAGTATAATTAAGCCTATGTTTATTTACTTACATATTTTGTGCATGTGTGTGAAAACTTGTAAGAAGTAGAGGCTAGTGGGAGGACTCAGGTCACTGGGAACATGCCCTTAAAGGAGATTTCTATATTATATCCCCACTTTTCTTCTTCAAAAAGAGATCCCTGAAACTCGTTTTCTTTATTCAGCTTTTTTCTGACCATGACCAACAACTTGTAACCAACCCCCCTAACCGATGGACAAATATCTCTAACCCACCAAATGACTGAAAACCACCCATCCTACCTCTTGGGAACATGGGCGTCTTGTTCTCTAGGCTGCTCCTGTTGACTGGGGGTGATGGAATCTTTGGGGTACCCTGAGAAAATTAGGATAAAAGTCCTGGGAGAGCTAACAGTAACATTTGTTGTCCAGTCTCTGTGCAATGGGAAAGCCCAAGGCTTATCTGCAGTCCTGGTTAGAATTGGTCTGTGAGGCTGGGCTATCTCAGCCAGCAGTCTTGAAGCTGTTCTGGCTGCAGGACTCTGAGGAAACTGCATCAGAGTCACGCTTCGAGGGTGGATCACCCGTTCTCATTGGTGTCTGGTCCCCTAAATTCAGTTAACTAGTTTTGACTTAGACTATTTTCATATAATAACATTTTCTCATAATTTCATTGCCACTGGATCTTTATCAGACTTTGCTGTCAAGGTTCAGCCAATACAAAATGTTGAGGAGTGCTGCATACCTTGCCATGTATCCTCCTGGATGTTGTCTTGCTTTCTTTTTCTTTTTCTTTATTCTTCTCTCACACAATACATCGCAGCCACAGCCTCCCCTCCCTCCTCTCCTTCTAGTCACTCTCCCTCCTCCCCAAGATCCACTGTTCCTCTATTTCCCTTGAGAAAAAAGCAGGCCTTTTCATCTCCTCCCTACAGTGACAGGCTGGGAAATAAGGATTTCTTACATGGGACTTTGTAGGAAATGCAACATCCAAGCTGCAACACTATAGTCAAATTTTACATTATTATACAATGTTCTTATTTTCTTTTGTTTTTTATATATTCAAATTGTTTCTATTATTGTGGTTGTTGCTTTATAAGGCCAGTGATTGCTTACCAATTTTTTAAAGCTAATCACTTCTTCTTACAGTTTAAACCTTTAAGTTCAAAATCCTTTAACAGATTTCATAGTGAAAGTCCATTGGTCTTGTCAGAAAATATTATTTCCTTAATTAAAATCTAGGTTGGCAGTTATCTTCCCTTGGAACTTTGAAGTCACTCTCCCATTGTCTCAGGCTTCATTGTTACTATGGCGACATCTGCTCTTCTTGGTGTCATTCCACTGAGAGGTAATCTGACCTTTTGAAGATCTCAAGATTCTTTGCTATTCTCGTGTAATTTTACTTCTGTGTCTAATGATACATTATATTTAGACACATAGCTTTTCATACTTCCCATCTAAAGATGTCATAAATTATTTCTTTGAACATTGTCTCTTAACAGGCTCTCTATTCTTTACTTCTAGGTCTTCAATTAGATTTTCAACTTTCATCTGAATTTGGTTTTGTCTTTCTTTTCTGTTTTTCAGCTTCTTGATCATTTGCACTATATTTGGGAACACTCCTAAAGACCTTTTGATTCATAATTTTTTGTTAAGATGTGTTTCAAATGCTCTTTATCTCACCACTGAGTTTTAGATGTCAGTAACTAAAATTTGCATTTCTATAATTTTTTTTAAAAAGTCCATCTAGACTTTTTTTTTTTTTTTTGAGACAGGATCTCATGGTGTAGCTCTGGCTGGCTTGGAACTCCATATACAAACCAGGCTGGTCTCAAACTCAGAGATCTACCTGACTCTACTTCTTGAGTGCTGAGATTAAAGGTATGTGCCACTATGCCTAGCTATCTGGTACTTCTCCACAGTGCCTTTTATTTACTCTCATGCTTTCTTTCCAGTATCTAAAAATATCAGTGAATATGTTAGCCACAGCTAAAAAACACCGATTACTTTAATAATGGCTACTACCAGGGTTCTATTTCTCTTGCACATATTATATTTTTATACTAGATTTTGTTCATGATGGCTGGTTTTTATATATTTGTTTCAGTTTTGGGATTGTAAATTGCTTGATAGGGCTTTACTTCTGAGGTCTGAGGAATCTTTAACACAGTTCTCCCTTTAAAGGGTGTACTTGCTTCTTTCCAGCTACCTGGATGTAACTAATCTAGTATTACCCTGTTACTGTTTTGAGATTTCCTAGGTGATGTGAATTGTGTGAATGAAAATTCTAAATCTGTCTGCAGAGGAAATATCAAAAGAAAATCATAGCGTGCTTGAAAAAGATTCTCAAACAGGCACATCCTCCTTTTCTGTTGTCTAGGCTTTTCTTTTAGTTTCCCATTTCAGGAAGAATATTGCATTTCAAATTTTTCTTATCTTAAGTGGAGAGATTTACTTCCAACATGGGTTTTCATAAAGCTCTGTGTGGATGAAGGCTGTATTCTCTACCCTTGTCTGTTAAAATTTATGGTTATATAACTGAGGTTAATGCCTTCATGATGGCAGTGGTTAAGTACCACCTCAACAAGCCAGCTTTCAGTTCCTTACTTAGATGTCCTGAGAGTATGCAATATGTTTTTGAGAGGTAAGTTATACATCTGGAGTAGTTTTACAGAAACATTTCATAGTACTTCTTGGCGATTGGGTGTACCTTTGTTTGTGTGTGTAGAGATATGTATATGCACAGAGGTCAGAGGTTGATAATACATGTCTTCCTTGATCCCCACGTTATCATTTTGGAGTCACTGGCTGAAACCCAAGCTCACTGAATGACTGGGTAAAAGCTTACGGAATCCACCCATATCCCTCCTCCACAACCAGCACTAGGGTTATAGGTACACACACAGATTGCCAGCATCTCCACACAGCAATCTGAACTCAGGTTACGTTACTGAGCAGGCCATCAGTAAACAATACCAGTTCTTGTTTAGCTGCAGAATTATTATCTGCCATTAGAAGGAATACTATATCAAAGTCACAGGCTTCAGTTTTTCAAATCTAAAAATCTTTTCTGCATACTATTTTATGGACATCAGATGAGAAGAAGAGTCAGGAGGGCTAAGGACACAGCTCAGTGATAGAGCACTTGCTTATCACACACAAAGCCCTTTGCTTTGGGACAGAACCTCATATACTGTAGGCTGGCCTCAAACGGGCTATGTGGCTGGCGATGACTTTGAACTTCTGATCCTTATGCCTCTGTACCCCTAGCGATGGGATTACAAGTGTGTGTCAGCACTGTTTATGTGATGCTGGGGGTGGAACACAGGGCTTCATGCATGATAGGCAAGCCCTCTTACCAACTGAACTACATCCCCAACCCTTGATTTTTAAATGTTTTTAGTTTACTCATCGGCAAAGAAGGACACATCTACTTCATTTTTTTTTCTCATGCTCTCACTTACATCTTCCATCTAACTTTCCTTTCATTGGCTGGGACATATATCAAGGGAGAAAGGCTATGACCCAAACTCACAAACTAATATAACTTAACAACATTCTTGAGTTGTCTTATGTTTTCATACCTATTGTTTTCCATGAGCCTTTTGATGGGTTAATCCATTATTTTAAAGACCTATTTGCTACGTAATATACATTTGCCTTTTACATTGTGAACTTAAATAGAAACCGATTTTAATAAAGTGTTGTTGGGTTAATCATTTTTAAAGTCTGTTTAATATTCAAGTAAAGGTCTTTTGAAATGCTTGCTATCATGATTGTATTGGGGGCTGAGAGTTGAACCTTGGGTCTCCTGCATGTCACACATATGCTCTAGATTCTAGGTGTGCTACACCACAGTCCTATTTTTTGTAGTCTAATTTGGCTTAATTATGCTAGGTTCTCTATTCCCCAGTGGTTTTGCATGCAATACAGTCAATGCAACAGCACTTATACTGACTTCAGAAATTCTTAGATATATCAGTTTCACTTTGAAATCATTGGCATCATAGTCTCAGGAGGTTCACAACACCAGCATTTACACAAAGAGAATGACAAGCAACTGGCAAGAACAAAAGCTACCGTTAAGGGCAGGAAGGATGTTACAAGATGCTTAACTTCATGAAGCATGTAGTTCTTTAGACATTTTCATGTTATAACAGTTCCTGTTCCACTATACAGGACAAGCATAGCGATGCAATTACATAATAGACACTCAAATGTGTCTTATTGGTCACAAGGATATTCCTTCAACAAGGTGATTCCTTTCATTTCAATCAAAGCTTATTTTGGATTTATCAAATCACTTGTAGTTACAGGTCAGCTCTACATTTTAAGTCAACAGACCTTCAGAAAAACCAAGATAATATACAACTGATGATATTAATGGGTAGCAGGTTGGGGAGGTGGGGAAGAGCCAAACTTATAGCAAAACAAAAACAAAACCCTCAAGCTTGATTAAGTTTTCTATTTATCATTTTGATTTCAGAGAGAACATGAGAAGAATTTAAGTAAAACAGGTACACTTAATCAATCCCAAGAATTAAGTTTTTAAAGATGTGTAATATCAGAATGTATGTTAGAATCAAAGGTTGAAGTTAATAATCAGACGTTTTTAATGGTTGTATCTGAAATATGTTCTATAATAGATGGGTGTCTAAAGTTAGGATCAATGTATTAAAACTAATATGGTACAGTAAACTTCCAGCCAAAATATTAACCTATGTAGCATGTAAATTTTAAGTGGATGCACTTCATATTTATATCAATAAACATTCCTTATTATGATTTTTTTTTTCTGAGACAGGATTTCTCTGTGTAGCTTTGGAGGCTATCCTGGAACTAGCTCCTGTAGACCAGGCTGGTCTCGAACTCACAGAGATCCATTTGCCTCTGCCTCCCGAGTACTGGGATTTAAAGGCGTGTGCCACCACCGCCTGGCTTAAGAGTTTTATTTAACTCATTTCTTGAAAATTCTCCCTTTTACTAAGGTTGTTACAAGCTTCATCTATATCCCTAGGTGTTTCTCTTAAAACGTATGAAAACCTACTGTCAGGCAGACAAATGGCACTCTCGATGAAGCGTTTCTATGAAAATACTCCACTAACTTTTAGTATCTGCAACAAATGGAGATCTTGTTGTAGAACAGGCACAGTGTGTCCAAGAATGGCCCTACAGTAGAAAGGATAATGATCCCCCAACACAGAAATGTGTGTCTCTGAATCTAAAAGTATGTTTTCTGACAAGTTGAAGGGCCTTTCCTGATGCCCTGAAGAATGAGGACCTGGAAATGAGATGATTCCAGTGAGCTCTAAAAACCGCTCTTTCTTTTTTAAGCCAGTTGTAGAAGGCTCAAAACAAACAAAAAGTTCAAAACCCAAAAAACACCATCCTGGTCAAGTCAAGGAGCCCCGTCTTCTTCTGTCTTCTGGGAAGCAATGCAGATTCTCTTGACATTTGGATTTCAGCTTTAGGAGACCCGTATAGGCACTGTGGCCTTCGAAGCCACAAGGCAGCTCGGTGCTGCCTCAACACACGGATGCCGTTTTAGACGAGGAAACAAAGGCCTGTGGACTGTGGACATTGGTCAAGAATACGCTTTGGGCTGCATTAACTCGTCTG